TATTTAGATGCGTGTTTAAGCTTGAGCCCTTTTAATGTGATTTTTGATTCTTTGATGATTTTCATAGGTTGTGGTTACTTGATGTGAAATACAGCCATTATTTTGCTCTTCTCTCTCTTTTCCTTACTTTGCTTCATTCTGTATATACAGGTGAATTCGTTGCTCACAATTCGAAGTCACTGAATGTTTGATCCCTTGCTACATATGCTAAATTAATGCTAGCACTGCATAAAGAAGTAAAGCTACTTTCCTTGGCCAGGAAAATAATCTTTCCTTGAATTGATAAATGATTATATTGTCTGCTCGGTGGACGGACAGATCAAATAATTGTAATATTGATTCAGCTACAGTTAATTCTAAGATCTAATCTAAATATTTATTATTAATCATAACCAGTTATAATTAGTCATAAATATTTCCCTTTTGAGCTGATTTACTACAGCTGCGTGTTTCAAGGCACTTCAGGGGACCTTTAAGCGCTGCAAGCCATGCTTATAGCGCCGGACATGACAGGTTTTCTGGTACGCAAAACAAGTACTTTAAAGGAATTCCTTAGCTTATTGCTGTTACTGTGGCAGCCAACAACAGCACAGCTTAACCCTCCACATATTTTTATATTTAGTTATATTGAGAAAGTTTTAATTCAGTCAATCTTTTTTACCCCGTTTTAACATGGATTTCTATGTAGACTGGCCGTAGCTGTCGGGCAAGATGGCGGCTAGCAGTGCCGGCATATAATATCCGTGTTCTGATTGGTCAGATCGCCTATCAATCAAGCTCTTTGTGAACGGTCAATTATAAAGGCTGTTGTTGGCTTAGGTCTGTTTTTATAACCATAAAAAAAATAACAAAAAATAAATAAATACAAAAATACCTTAATACTTCTTTGTAAACTATTATTTGAAGTAACAAAACTATGGTTAACTTGTAGTTACCATGGCTACAATAACCATGATTTTTGGTTGTATTCTTAGTAAAACCATATAGATAATTTTCGTTAAGGGAACATGGAAACTCAGAGAGAATATTAGATGCGTTGTTGATGGTTTAAATTATTACCGACATTAAAACACGTCAACAGCCAAAAAAGTTTCACAGGATTATGAATGTACCTGAAAGGGATGCACAGGCTTAATCTTTTTTATTTTTATTTTCTCTGTGCCTGACTGCTGATGTGTTTTCACAGGCATAGTTGTCCATCAGTTATGATCATTTGCATTCAGCCGTAAACATTAGGTGCGAGCAGGCGCGGGCGCGGGAATGGCATGTCACATGTGCTTAGCCTACTGCCTACATTTTTTTTTATTGCATCAACTTTACAATCAAACAAGGTACAAAATCACATTCCAGAATGTAACAGATCTTAATCAGCCTTGGTTGAGCATAACCAAAAACAGAAAAAATAAATAAATAAATCGTCAAAATAAAACAAACTAAACCAGAAAGACAAATACCAAGTAAATAAATACATAAGATGCTTCAAAAATAAAATACAAGAAATGGGCTTTTAAATTAAATTATACAAATCCAAAAGAGAAGTCAACTTAAGGACTTTCTTGTTCTTAACAAATTTTAAAGATTTGTATAACAGTTTTACCTCATTATACCATTGAATAAAGTTGGGTTTAGATTTAAACCATCTACACTTGTGAATAAAAAACTTTCCAAAACATAACAGGAAATTAATAACAAATTCAAAATATTTGTTTTCAACAAAAATACCAAACCTGACTATCTTCACACTGAGAGGTGGAAATTCAACATCCCTGGAACATAACCAGTTTTGCATCTCTCTCCAAAAAGGTTGTACCGTATCACACAAAAAGAATGCATTACCTAAATTTTCAATACAGGTAATAAGTTTCACAAAAAACACAATTATTAACATCAAAATTACATTTCAGTCTTAAAAATTTGTTAGTAGGGTAGATCTAATTTAGAATCTTGAAACTCACCTCTTTAGCTTTTGGAGGAATGGGTAAAGACAAATAGTTCTTCTAATTTAAAAAAAAAATAAATCAACCGTATCAAAATATTTAAACGCGTATTTCCGTCTAATTGGGTTTGGATAACATGCCTGCAAAATAAAATTTCTAATTCTCACAAAAACCATAACCTTCTATGGAAAGTTGCCTCAATTCTGGGGAAACTTGGGAATTCACAATATCTCCTTTAACCATTAATCTCAAAGTGACTGGAATGGCTCTAATCATTCTATTGTAAATATTAACAGTGCACTGCAGATGGAATTTCTTGTTAAACTCTCTATATAATAGCAGTTCTATTTCCTTGGCTGCAGACCACCAGAGGGTGTAACAGAGTGGAAAATCTTCGTGTCCTTCCCTTTGTCGAGAACCTAATATAAAAGCTCTCACCTCCTGACCTTAATGACGAGTCTGTCTATAAATACCTGCTTACACGTCATCACTTCCTTTTTCATCTTCCCGTCTGAGAACCTGTGTGAAGTGCAGCTAATTAGGACAAATTTCCGACAGCTGTATCCCTGCAATACCTAGTAAAACACATTGTTTATCAGGTGAGCGTGGTATTTTCGAACCGCCCATGGGAATGTGAAGTATTTGCATAAAAAAAAAGAAAGACATTATGGGGGTACTGGTGTTTCCATTTACCTTCCTGATTCTGTAGTCTAAAAATATGTCTGCACAGTGTTCGTCTTGCCAGGAGCAGATGGGACTTGAGGATAGACATGACCAGTGTCCAAGATGCCTAGGTGTTGAGCATCTTGGGGAAGCTCTGGAAGATCCATGCATCTATTGCAACACGATGCCCCTAGCAGTGCGACACGCTCGCAGGGTCAAGCAGTAATACGGGGGGAGGTATGAAAAGAAAGGCTTCAGCTTCGGCCTCTGCTCCTCTCCCGAAGCAAAAGAAA